GACTGAAGCGCTGCCGTCGCGAAGTCTGAACGCTGCCTTATGAAAGCACGGCTAGGCACGGCCTTAGCCGACTTAAGCTCGAGCAAACGATCTCGCTTACAAAAATCTATGAAACCGCTTCATTACATGTATTCTTATCTTTGTTTAGTGAACAGCTCAAAGCCGCAAGACTTTCAATTTTCAGATGGGATACGGTGAAGTTGAACTCGATGTACTGCCCAGAATTGGTCCATGCTGATCCTCATCGTGGTCCATGCGTTGTACCGCGTCCAAAAGATGCTGAAGAGTTCAAACGTCGAGTGTGGGCCTACAAGCGGCTACTGAACAGGAACAGAGCTCGTCGAATTTAAGTAGAACGAAACGTGGCTAGTTCCTTTGCAGAAAGCGCGACTCCCTCAGAGACATACATCTTGTTGTTTTAAGCCCATCTTGGTGAATGGTTGCCGCGAGTGGTTTCTAATAAACAATCATAGGGTATCAGGTGCAAATCTCCTTTAGGGGCATTCGAACCATCGAAATTGAACTACGAGTGAATTACCGCCATCCGGATCGGATCATCGTGCTTCAAACTCATCACCTACTCTGGAGGTCCTTCTTTGAAGACGCACTGTACGGTCAACTAAAAGGCGCGTCCTCGGGGCACGAGCCATCAGCTGTCGAAGCGTGGCGGTTTCCTCGTCCGAACATGCAATAGCTAAATGTTATCAGCACCAGGAATTTACGTTTTAATTGTATTCAAAGCACAATTAAACATTGGGCAAAGTGCCCGGAGCACTGCGAGCGACGACACGCGCCGCGCGGACGGCTGTCAGTATAAACGGGATCGGGAGTCTGCGCCGCAAGTTGCATTTTAGGCGGAGTATGGAGGAATTAGCGTGTCCCACGGTCCTGGATCCCCATTCCTGCGCATGTTCGGACGGGGAAACCGCTACGCTTCGACAGCTGACACTTAGCCCCGAGGACGCGCCTTGTAGTTGAACGTACAATGTTTCCTTGAGCCTGGGCGAAAATCCTCATATCTACTATGACTATTGTAAAATTGCACAAGGGGCTCTTCAAATGTCCCACAAGGGGACTTGCACATGTAATAGCTCCACTGGGTCCTTAGTGGGGCTCCTTAAGGCGTAGTAGGGATAGCCCAGGTATGTTACCGTGGTAAGATGATGTCGTGCAACGCGTTAGACGTACCACCTAACAGGTTAATGACAACTAAACCTGTATGGTGTCACGTCAGTGACGGCTCAAAGCACATCACTAAAGTATTTTGAAGTCAATGACAATTCATCTTGCTCTTAAAAAGTAACATGCTTGGCCTATTTTAGTCCTTGCATCGCTTATAGCATATAGTTCAGTCCCTAGCGCGCAAACTACTGAAAATGCTTATGGTTAGCTAGCACTTTTTGAATAGTATTGAGCTTAGCATTAGCGTGTGCTTAAGTTTCACCGAAAAAATTTCTCAAAAGGGCATGTTGTGCTTTCCGCAAAGGAAACGGCTGACCGAGCTTCTTAAGAGGTTGCTTTCAGTTGTGTGCAATGTTTCGCGTTACTACTTATTGTTTCGTGTTTTGCGTTCCTTTTTAGGTACCACGGTACTTCGGGTTTATACTATTGTTACATTTATGAATAAACGAATTATCTCACCTTAGTAGTTTACAACAGTGATATCGTTGTACAATAGTGTTGTGTTTGCCAAAGCGGTCTCTGCAATCTACTAGGTCGTCCAAATAGTTTTATCCTCGATCTTAGAACTTTTGAGGAACTTTGCCAAAACAGATACGATCTGACTGTGAGAAAATTAATGGTTGCTGTGGCCTGTTACGTACGTCCAGCACTCCTCTAGTAACCTAGACTTGCTTCGTCATGTGCTGTTGAGCTCTTCGGGCGAAGAATTGTCTTCAGTGTTGAGTGTTCGGCGCGATTTATTACCCTTACGAGTGGGTTTTACAAGAGCCTACTCAGAACAAGGGAGCTCAATGGGAGACAGATCATGGAGAGCTCTTCAAAACGGTTCAGGGCATGTTGTAGAGGAATTTACGTGGACCATAGAACAGAAGTTCGTTGTTTTTCCACGCGTCCCAGGAAGTGCCAAAGAGAATAAATAATGCGTCTATGCTTCAAGTCACCGCTACAACAAATTTCTGTATCCCTGTTTTTTTTATCTTTTGTTGTCTGTACAGTTCTAAAGCTTCAGGCCGAAAAATAAGGTGCGCAGAAACAGCCAAATCTTCACCTCAATCATACGAGAACGCACTGAAACGCCTGTGCAAATCTTTATGAAAATCGCAGTTTTCAAAGGCACGGTTCGCGTTAAAAAGCCTAGGCGATTCTGCAGAAATGTGGAAGAAAATTCGCCAAGTGAACCATCTATGAAGAGAAAATGCCAAAGGAACGTTGAAACGCATTCGTCAGGCCTCCTCTAGCCTCAAACAACTGTAGAGGTAAAAGACCGAAAAGACCGCGCTGGGACAATTCCCGTCGGCTGATTCCCAGTAATGAACCCTATGACTCTACAAGAGACACTGAATGCATCCACTCCATGATACTTGCCCGTTACTTTTGGCTGGAAGGCCGACTTTGGAGGCGGAGTCACTGGAAAAAGGGATGTACCACTGAAGCAACTTTGCGCCTTAATCCCTTTACCGTACAACTTTCCGCCGCGAAACTGGCACAGGGTTGTCCACTCCGGACCGCACTACCTTCCCACATAACCTCTTGCATTTTCATAGGTCATCGCGTTTAAGGTGGTGTACTATCGGAACCCGTAGCGTAACCGTCTCCTTTTTTTCCAAAAAAGAGAGGAGAAAAGAAAAGCTGTAAGTTTTCTGAACACCTACAGCGATCGATGCGGACCATCAAATGCCCCTACCAAGACGAACGCGCATATTTATTCTTTCGAAGATTTTCACAGCACTTCCAGCGATTACTGTGAATGGTTCTTTTCACTAACAGTAGTTTCCTACTGATTGGGATAATCTCCTACTTGAGACGAAAGAGGATCAGGCTTCATTTTTCGGGATGTACGTTTGTACTGACGACAAAATAAACACAAATAAATTTCAAATCAATATTTATGCAGTACATAGTATAAGCATAACAAAACAATAGTAAATGCTAGAATTTGGATAGTAATTAAGTAAAGGCCCGTTTATGAAAGGCGGTTCGGAAATTGGGTGGAGGGGCTAATCCACTACAAATGGCATTTGACAGATCGTTTTCCTTAAAGCTGGCTTTTGCAAAGAGATGCGTTTTCTCCTGAAGAGTTGGGCTACCTATACCAAAACCGCCGTCACCCGAAGTGTTCTTTGTGGGAGTGTGGTTTCGGGAAATCCACGTAGCGGTTGCCTGGCATTGCAAGTTATGTCACGTGAGCGGCATTCGCACCAAACCTACTTTTCAAGTATCTTCTCGTGCTACGTGGATTTCCTAAAAACACCTCCATCCGTGGTCGATTATGTAAAGCCATACTGTTCACGTAGGCATCTAAAAAAGTGAAACCTGCATGCGATTTTGTAAAGCTATTAACCGCTTAAGTTTGAAGGATCAAAAAAATAAAGAAATCCGGTTCTTAGCGAATATTGCTCCTTTGCACGTTCTCTAGAACTCTCACTCTCGAAATTATAAGCAGCTTCCAAAAATACAGTTGAGAACTAAATTACCTAGTCGTTCAGGATACGGAGTTTGTGAGCACTGTGTAACGAACAGGATACGTGCTAGCGTTAAGGAAAACTTTAACTAAATAAACTCTCCTGGTTTTCTCCTTCAGTACAGGCCTTCCCTGAAGTGGCTTAATACGAAACCTTCCACTAAGGAGCCCTAGCGTAGCACGTACCCTGATCAAACCCCAAAAAAGTGTCTGGGCAAAACGATGAGATCCAGTTCCTCATTCAGGGTAATGCCGTATCTGAGTACGGCCTCTAAAAATGCAACATTTTCCGGTGCGCACTGTCTTTCTTCAGCAATTTCGATGCTTTTTGTTAGGTAATCTCGATCAGGCTCATCGCGCGCGATGATTTGACGATTTCCAGCCAGCAAGGAATTGTTTGGAATATCTCAGATATGATGTTGAATCTACAACGATTGCGGTGGCATTGGACTCTGCAACGGCTTGGCCTCTACATTCTTTGTCAATTCTTCTCGAGCGCTCCTCTCTTCGCGTAATGGAACGATACGCCACAACAGGCGATGGAGAACGAAGTGTCGGATCTCTGGTATCCTGAAAAAAGATTAGATTGAGGGCTGAAATTTGTGGTTAGTGATCATTTATCAGTTTTCGAAGGGACGAAATGCTGAGGTAGTATTGCTTTCCATGGTCACAATTCGGGGTAAAGTCATTAATCCATTCCCTTTTTGTCAATTGAGCCTCTTACCCGTTCAGGATCTGCAAATTGGCAGTAGAGGACAAAAAGCTGGCCCTTACATCGGTTGAATCTCGCTTGTTATCCTACATTCAACAATACAGAATTGGAATCATCGCCTGTCTGTGTCGCATACCGAAAGGGCTCTTAAGCGACGCCGCGCTATCGTGTCCAACCCAGAAGAATCAGGGATACAATTGCCTTCTTAGTTGCCTGTGTGAAGGCAAGGTGGAAGATGACCGGTGGCAGGAAGTGCCTCTGTTGCACAATAAGTATTTAGGACCCGACCCAGTTGAAGCAGTTCTAGCCAGTTAAACCGAAATTGAAAAGGAAATGAGATAGCAAAACCGAGTTTATACGGTCGGTTAGTCGGGATAAGCTTGGCCTGGAAGGACCGGTTATATGCTGTGCAGCTCGTATGTGCATCCATTGACCTCTGCTGCGTAGTATGAGCAAAGGCTGAAGGCGTGTGCCACTTTAAGGAATGCATATTGCCTAACTTCCTTATTGAAAATTATGTGCCTATACCATGACTTGCGGGGTCGCAGATGTGCAACTCAGTGTTCTCATCCTCTCAGCAATCTCTTACCAATTTACCATTCCCGTAGCAAAGAAGGCTTGGCCACCCTGTGCGGGAGCGACCCGGGATTTGACCAGGGACCGAGCGCCTGCCACATGGCACTACATCATATCGGCCTCCCAAAACCTCGTAGGAACCCCATCCCCTTCCTGACACACCTGAGCACCCGTAGCTGTTAGCTACGGATGCTGTGGTGTGCCAGGAAGGGGATGGGTTTGGCGCGGCGCGGCGCCGACTTATCTCCACCAGTAGTTGAAGGGGGCAGGCGGCAACATTATGTGAAATGAGTCCCCCCTACGTGACATGCCCCAGCATCGGCAGCGAACAATACTGTAGATATAGCCAAATCAGTATTCTGCCCTTCCCCTAACAGAAAAATCTTCCCATTCGTGCTGACATAGCCCTTTGTTGGCTTCTACTCACCTCGTCGCGTAGATGATCGGGTTGGTGAGCGACTTTATCATGATGTTGATCAAAACGACGATTGATAGCACGTTGATTAACACTCCTGACTTGCGAGACAGTGGCATACCGTCAGCAGTGAGTAAGAATAGTATGCTGGCTGGAGTCCAGCCCACAAGGAACGTGCCGAAGATTAGTGCCGCTGTCACGACAGTGCGACGACCTCGTACTGATGTCGCAGGAGCCGTTTTCGATCGAACCTGCAATAATTGAGCGAATGTCTTTTAGCATGAGTCTCATGGACTTATGGAGCAAATGAGCTCTGAAGAGACAGAAAGGGGAAGAAATAGAATCAGAGGGAGATCTGTGGGTGCTCCCTTAATCAGTCCAGTTTTTCCAAGGGTTTTGGGGCACTTAGTCTGACAATGAGTTCAAATAGACCTTTAAGTCAACAAAAAGAAGTGATGGCTTCCAAAAAGGTGAGGTTCTCCTTCTTCGATTGAGCAAACAATTGCTGATGCTGTGTGTGGATCAGGAAGAGGAAGTAAACCTGACCGTACTCGAAAATTGCTAGTTGTCTGGCGGGGGCGAAGATGAAATTGGCAGTGTGCATTCATTAAAGTTGACAGTTCAGTTTGCAATTCAGGTCAGCACTGCCTATTAGTCTGACCGTTTTCAGAAAGTGCCACTTATGTGATAAACGCTTGAGAGCTACTATTAACTTATCAAGTGAGATTCTATGGCTACTAAATGAACCCCTTTGCTACTAAATGAACCCATTGAACTGTGTCAGTTCACCTCGTTATGATCATTGTGCCAGTGAGACTGCAAACTCTCAAATAAGGCTTGCTTCGCCCAGAAAATGTTAACATTTGATAGGAAAGGTTCCTGACTTAATCATTTGCTGCTTGATTGATCTTCAGTAGCAACCCATCCCCTAACGGCCTCTCTTCTCGAGTGTCCAACTATCTCCCTTATGAGATACCCCAAATGCTTTAGTAGCGACCCAATCGTCCCCTAACGAGCCTCCCTCTCGAGTGTCTGACTACGACCTACCTTACGGGGGTTCTCCTGAGAACCCCACCCCCCCAGGATGGGTTTTCGTTGCCGTGTCGAGGTAGGTCTGTGGATCAGATATACTTGGACCTTTTTGTGTACCTTTCTCCATAGAAGAAAGGTTTCGGTATATGCGTACGCGAATTAATGGAAACCAGAAGAAATGAAAAATTCTGTCACAGTGGGAAATCGAACGACCAGTCATT